TATTTAATTTGCGGGTTATATATGAAATTATATATATTAAATTAAAATAATCTGCATTAGTGCAAAAACTCCAAAATCTTTGGAATGATATTCAGAAGCTAAAATTTAAATTTTTGTTGTTTACACACTTAAGTGTTCACATTATGATTTAAATATTATTAACAAAAACAACCTCAAGAGGAATTATCAGAAACGGCGAATCTCTTAAAAACAAAAAGATATAAAAAAATCAAAAGAAAATAATTAAAAGAAAAAAAAATTAATTAAAAATCATTTAAATTAATATTAATTATTATTAAGTTTAAACTAAATTACAAAAAGAAAAAAAATAAAAGAATTTTATTCACAACTTTTCTGAAGTATTTTACTTGATAACAGATAATAACAGATAACTTGTTACTTAAAGTTTAATAGAATTGAAGTAATTTAATCAAATAAATCATAAAAAACTGTTTCATTTCGCAATCTACTTCATACGAAGAAAATTTTATCTTATACAGAGCAAAAAAAATGCAAACGAAAGTTATATTTATTTTTATTGATTGAAAAACTGACTTCAAAATTTCAAAATTAGAAAAATGCTTTCAGTTTCGTATTTATTAGGTTATATATAAGTCAAAAGTCTAACGTGGTTAAGTTATATCATGTTTATTTAGTTAAACCAATTATAATTATTTGAATTAAAATAATTTTTTCGAGTTGAGTTTTTGGTATATTTATGCAAAATTAAACTTTTAAAATAAATTAAAAAATTAAAAAGGTACGACATTTAAGATATATCATATATAAATAATAATTTAATTAACTCAATCTTGCTAACTAAATACATTCGAATTTTAATGAAACTTATAAGTTTCTTATAAGTATAATAAATACAAATAAATTTTTTATTTCTGTAATATAGATTTGGAAATAAATTATCGAACAAAAACAATATATATAATAAATATATATTATTTTATATACACAAATATATTATATTTACACAAAGTATAATATATAACATATATATATATGTAATATAATATAATATATTTTATAAAATAAAATAATTAATTAATTAATTAGTATTTTTAAATAAATAAATTTACTATTTAAATTTAAAGTAAAAATAAATTTAAATTTAGTATTTACTAATAAATAAGAAATGTTATAAAAGCTATTCCTAAACAATCATATATCTTTAAATGAACATTTCTACATTAAAAGTATAGACATTTTAAACATTCACACATATTTTAAATGAAATTAAAAAAATATAAAACAAAAAAAACCAACTGAAATAATATATATTATTTAAATATGTACTTGTTTCTCAAATATTTAATTTCATTTTAAAATTAATTTTGCAGTCATATCTCTCCTTTATCCTCATCTCCCAGTGATGCATAGCGTTTCTGACATTTCAATACAAACACATGAACTTATAAGAATTTTCAAAATTTTATTTTTCAAATTATTTAATTCATGCAGTTTAAATTTAATTGAAAATATTACTTAACAGTGCACTATTATTAAACATAGCCATAATCAGCAAACTATACCTCAGAATATTTTAAATTGCTTTATAAATGATTTTATCAACATTAGAAATAAACAGTAGCAGTTTTATGCACTAAAGCAGCACTATCTTTTTATTTGATATCTAAGAAACAGACTCGATAATTGAGGCAGTAACTACTGTAACTCAGCGGTATTTTTGCGAGGATATTGCTAAATATATTTTTCTGTTATATGGAAGTACTTATTATAAACTTCACTACAAGTGAAGTACAAATTTTCAATCAAAACACTTACTTTTAAAATATATTTATTTTGTTTTAATTGAAATAATATTTTCTCTGAAACTTAATTTGGGTCTACAATGTTACTAGTTTTGGACAGTAACTTTCATTACAGAAAATTAAAGATGTATAAGAAATTTTTTCCATATGTAGAGCAAACTTTAAGGTGAAAATTTTAGACAACTGGGTCTATAATGTTACTAGTTTTGGACATTAACTTTCATTACAGAAAATTAAAGATGTATAAGAAATTTTTTCCATATGTAGAGCAAACTTTAAGGTGAAAATTTTAGACAACTGTGTCGCAATTAAAGTGAAGCAATATTTTCTCGGGAGCTTTACTTAGATCTACAGTACATCTTATTATCAACATATAAATTCAATAGCATAAAATCATAATTATATTCAGGAGTTTCAGTCATATGTGAAGCACTTAATTATGGCATTTCGATTCTGCCGCATTTGCGGTGAAAAATCGCAAATGCGGCAACGGTGCCGCTGTTTAATATCCATCTTTTGGTTTCTAGTAGTTTGTATCGGCGCAAAATTTTTCTTGAGTTATTTTTAAGTGATAAAACAATTTTAAAACATCATGGAGATTCCATATTCTAAACTTCATTTGCCGATAAATTATATCTGCAATAAGTTTTGTGCCTGAAAGTTTTGCCTCTATAAAATTAACTAGTAAAGCACTAAAAATAAATAGTTTTTAATAAATATAATAATTTAAATATAGTTTTAACTACTGATTTATTATTAATATCAATAACAAAACCAAAAATATTTTCTTATAACAAAAAGTACCTATATTTATAAGTATATATAAAACCCTTAAAGTTTTTAATTTTGTTCCGAAGCAAATTTTTATTGTGACCATTGAAGAGTTTAGGCTCTCATAAATTAATATAAAATTGATATATTTTCAAGTGCTGATATAAAATTATTATTATTACATAGTAATTATGTAGAGCAGTAAAAAAAAGCAGTAGTTTTCAATTTGAAAAGCAATGAATGCAAAACTTTCAACAAAATTAAAAAAAAAAAATTTAAGAAAAATAAAGTAGGAGTGTATGCATATTTGTATATTTCTAAAAATGTTTATTATTGCCTTAAGCTAAGCTCAATTAAACTATATAAGCAACTTCTTTATAAACTATATGAAGCACCTTAATAATATAGATACATAAATTTTTTTCTATTTCATATATGATTTCCGCCATATATACATTTTTTTGATAAAGTATCTTTTTATGATTAGCGTGTTTATATTACTACATTTTATAATAAATATTAAGTACTATTATAATATAGTTTTATATATTATAATAATTTATTAATTAAATATAGCTATTTATCACTTCATCATTTATGTGATTTCATTTCTTTTCGTTTATTTTGTTTTTTATAAAAAGCATATAATGTCAGAGAGCATCTACAAGTGCTTAATAGCCTTAATTACATACGGTATTTTATAAGAAAAGCATTTCAAAATAAGTCATTTTAGTTTTTATTTAAATGATGACTTTAAATGTAATGATTTAAATACTATTGATAATGTATCTAAATTTATATCAATATAATTCGAACATAACGCGATAAACTATGTTTAATTTACTCAGTTAAGGGTTTTCATCTAGAATGTACAATATTTGCAAGCGCAATTAGTTTAGACTAAAAAAATAAATATTACAAATTTATAATTATTTAAAAGTTGTAATTTATTGTATAATTATAAATGATTGTTAGAATGTTAAAGCAAAAATAAGTTTATTTAAAAATATTAATTTATATATATATAATATAAAATTGTTATTATCAATATTATAAATATTAATAATAAAAATTTTAATTAACAAATATTAATATTTAAAAGCAAACCTTAATTTGCTTATAGTATATTTCTTTTTAGTTAAATTAAAAATTGTATTTAAATCACATTACTATAAAGGAAGTAATTCTGTATTAATATATAATTAAAATTATTTTAGTTTTTAAAATTAATTTAAAATTGAATTTTAAATAATATTATATTTTTAAAAATGCGATAATTTTTTGTTAATAAATAAATAAAATGTGAAAAATCTATACATTGTTGAGAGACAACAACATTATAAATTTAAATAAAAAATACTATAAAATACATAAAAAATATTATATGTAAAATGGAAAGTTTATGGAAAAAATGATTGGAAGCAATTATTGTTTAAAATATAAAAGTATTTGTATAGAGTTTCAAAAAAAAATCATATTTTTGTACAAAATTGTTATCTAACATTGCTTGGAAGCAGATTTATATTTAGTTTAAAAATAAACTAAATTTATTTTTATTATATGGAGCTTACCTAAGGAAGAAATAAGTTTAAGGAAAGTTTTTTACACGCATTCTTCTGGAAGAATTTTAGGAAGTTTCGATAAAACTAGACGCATCCTATTACTAATTTTTTTGTTAAGCGTGAAATATAATATAATAATAAATATAAACTGAAAATATAAATATTAGACATTAAATTGTATACAAAATGTCTCGATTATTGGCATTGGCAGCTAATTTCAACTATTTTGTTTACATACACATATTAATATATATTTATTTTTCACATTTGAATGATCATAAATACATGCTATATCAGTTTTACTTATTGTATAGGTTTTTTGAGTATGAGCTTCATCGAGTATATTTTTAATTAATTAATTTTAGTTGAATTATTTTTTTACGAATTATGAAATATACATACATATATTAT